ATACATACATACATACATACGCACAAACAATAAACGCACACACAAATGCACACGAACATGCATACAGCACTACAGTATACGTTGACATGTACATGACCTGACAACCGGCGAATCTCCAAAGAAGTTAAGAATTGAGTTGTAGGGATTCGATTTTTGAATTTGGGTTTTACGTGCCACTGGTAGCGTTCAATTAAGGGTTCAAGTTTCTGGTGTAGGGTCTGGCGTTTAGTGCGGTATTGCCCAGGATGCTACACTCTTCACGGCAGCAATCGGCGCACAAGGCAGGAAGATGCAGGATTCTAGAAGCTGGGGCGGGTTGTTTTTCAACTCACATTGAAAGCTTAGGTTGCTTCTTGGATCGTGCAAACAAACGCAGATGCCATGATTTATGAAGTGGCTTTGAGGCTGCGGTAGGCTGTGTTGACAACTTGACGTGTCTATTCGGTCGGTGCTTGGCCCATGCCGTTGAACTGGCTCAAGACAAAGCCGGATTGCCGAGCTGAGAACGCCCTCTTTGAGCTCACCAGAGCTCTCCGGTACATTAGGCAGGCTCCTTCCGCCTTCGGCAGAAGCTCTACACTACATCACCATGGTGCTTCCGATGGCTTTGCTCCGCACGGCACAGAATCAGCCTATGCACCTCGGCATGCATTCACAGGCTCGTGACTCTTATGACAAGTGTGCTCTTTAGCTTTGCCTGACATAGTGGAATTGTGGCCGACTCTCATGGCTACAGTGTGTCTGTGCGCGCCCGGAGACCTCGCAGCGAGCATGTCGTATCGCTTCAGTTCTTTTGAAACGTAAACGTAGCGACATCTTAAGCAAAGCGAAGATGCCGAGAGCCAATGCTGCTGGAAGATGCAATCTAGAACGGTAGGAGAAGATGAAGATGATGACAGGTTCATGGGACTTCATAAGTAATTACAGTTACAAGTAGTTTAATTGGGGATATAAGTAGTTTAGCTATCTTATTTATAACCCTAGTAAGTCCGATGAACCGTTAAGTAGGGTCCCGGCACCGGGAGTGTCCTCGAAATCTTCCCGGGATCGGCAGAACCTTCCGCCTACCAGCGCACCCCTCAAAGTCCTGAAATCCCAAATGCGTCAGGCTTGAGGGTTCATGGGACTTAGTAATTAGGGTTATAAATAGGGTAACTATACTTATAACCCCAATTAGGGTACTTATAACTGTACTTATTAAGTCCCATGAACCTCTAAGGGATCTCTTTGATCATCCGTGAATTCGGTGTGTAGTCTGAAGCTGAGGAAGTTGAAAGCTAAGCCCCGAGCCGCCTGAAGTAAGCTTAAGGATGGTGGAGCTCAAGAACGGAGAGACCTACAGTGGCGTGCTTGCCTCCTGCGATGGCTTCATGAACCTGTTCCCGGGCATGCATGGAGTCAACTGGGGCTCAGGGTGCATGGACGTTTGAGATTGCCGGTCTCGGTCAGGGGTTGGTGTATAGGCAAAATTTCATCCTGGTGAGGTAAGTAGAGACACTAGAGAAGGCAGTCTCTATGGGACATACCTTGATAGCTCAGCCCTACATATGCTTAGAACCAAGCAACCTATAAGTCCTCAGTTTTATCTGATGAATTACCCTTTTGGGTTAGGGATTTAGGGTTGGGGGTTTGGGGTTCAGGCATTTCGTCAAAGTAGTGGTGAAGCACGCTTGTCTCCCGTGCAGAACCCCGCAACTGAACTTCTATATCACACATGTACATCAGTAGAAATGCGACGACGAATGAACCAGCAGACAAAAATGCATACATATATATATATATATGTATACACATACTTCTATCTGTCTATCTGTCGGTCTGTCTGTCTGTCTGTCTGTCTGTCTGTCTGTCTGTCTGTCTGTCTACATAGCTGTTCGCGTAAATATATATATATATATATATACATACATACATACATACATACATACATACACACATAGGCTTGCATGCATGTATACATACATGCATCGTCATGCATTCATATATAGATATAGTTGTTTGGCTAGGGTTTTACGGCGTATGTATGTACTTCCGAACACGATGCTTGCATGCACAACAGGGTTTAGGGGTTACCTCACTAGGTCAGGCACTATGAAGCCCCCGAACCGCCTAAACTCCAAATCCCAGGCACATGCGCGATATCGTGTGCACTTCCCGCGACGGCGAGCGCTTTTGGAAGATCCCGGCCCCTTCGGCTAGTAACCGCTTAGGCAACATAGGGTGCAGGGATTTGGGTTCGGGGTTTATGGCTTAGGGTTTAAGGTTCAGGGGTTAGGTTTCAGGGCTTTGGTATTCAGCTTATGGGATATCCAGACAGAGGACTTGCAACCTGAGGAACCCATGAACACTAGGCACTCAGACGTATGCGTGAAAGCTTAAAACAAACGCCTGAACCCTGGCCCTGGACCTGGGACCACAAACCCTAAATCTTCAAACCACTTCATTGGTTCCCACATTCCCCAACTCGTGGGGGTTGAGGGCTTATTTGTGTGCTTTAAGGCTTGTGGTTTACTGCAAGTTGTATCCGTGAGGAATTTTCGTAGGGTTTGCAGTGCCTGCAGAGAGTAGTTGTATAAAGTCTAGAGCTTTCTGGGTCATGTGGAACACATGACGGTAAAGCCTGGGCCCCATGTAAAGCTAGGCCCTAAGCCCTAAACCTGAAGCCGCAACATCCAAACTTTTGCTGCTCCGATAGAATCCGTGGTTGTCTACACCCTACTCGCAGTGAAGGGCAGGCTGCCAATAACAGATTTGCGGCAGTGAAACTTAGCAGCTGAGTGTTTGGATCCAGCAACTTGACACTAATGTAGGCCTACGAACCGGACAGCGATTACCATCCTCAACCCCCATAGCCCCTTTTATAGGGCTTTTCTAACTCCTTCACGTTTACAAAAGGCGCTTATGCAAGAACATGAAAACAGTAAGGAACCCTTCAGTTAAAGGTTTAGGGTTCACGGTTTTAGGGTCTGGGCGCAAGGGTTTAGGGTTCAAGGTTTGAGGGTCTAGGCTTCAGGCCTGCGCCTAAATTTCAAATCCTGAACCCCAGGCCGACTTACCACCCGCTTCACGAGACACTTACTTAGCAGGTTCGGGCCTGGAAGCTTTTTGGTGAATTTCGGGGGAGGACGGGAAGTTTCGGTCCAAGCGCCGTGCATGCCGAGGAATGCTATGTTCGTGGCAACAGCATCAAATACCTACGCTTGCCCGACGAGGCCACGGCGAGCAGGGTTACAATCCCGAAGGCTCAAAATGGCCCAACAGCCTTATATAGTTTGGTCTTTGGGCTTAAATGCCTCAAAAGATGAGTCCTTAGAGCCTTTGGGAATAGCTACGCGGCTATTTTCGCGGCCACTTGCTTTAGAGAGGTGCTTTGAAGGTCCAAACTACAAGTTCAAGTAGCCAAACCACGTTTGTGGCTATCTAGGAAAACATCAGAACATCCCAGTCTGTCGGCTCTGCACTGCATACGCTTATGACACATGTATGTTATGCTATGTGTGTATATACTATATATATATATATACATATGTCTGTCTGTCTGCTTATCCGTTTGTCTCTGTCTGTGTCTTTGTCTGTGTCTGTGTCTGTGTCTGTCTGTCTGTCTGCCTCTCTGTCTGTCTGTTTGTTTGTCTGTCTGTAAGTATGTGTATGTATATGTATGTATGTGTATGTGTACATACATATGTATGTAGATTCTCGCTTTGTATAGAAATTATATATATATATATATTAGCTACTTGTTTATGCTCAATTTCTTATGTGCATACATATATATATATATATGTTTCTATGCATAGGCATGCCTGCATGCATGGGTGCTCATAGATGGATGTGTGTTCTCTCTGTAGAATGCACATTTAGATACAGATGTACATATGTATGTGTGTATGTATGCATCTATCTGTTTAACTATATATATATATATATGTACTGTGTATATATATATATATATATGTGTGTGTGCACACACGTGTGCGTGCACGTGTGTGCGTGTGTGGGTTTGTGTTCGTGCGTGCGTGCGTGTGCATGTGCGCGCGTAGATCTGCACGACCTACACGCACATGCATATACTTGCGTGTGTGCATATGTACGTAAACACATACGAACATACATACGTCCATACCTACATGCATGCAAGTAGGTATATACATACATGTGTATATCTATATATGTATATATATATATATATACACCCAAATACAAACGCAAGTCGATGTCTTTACGGGTATGTGCAGAGACATACACACAGCCAGAGAGGGAGAGAGAGAGACAGGGACGGAGAGATTCCATTTATGCTTGCCTGTGGCACACTGTCCAGCAGCTGCGGCATGTCGGTACTTGTAATTTTCAAACATCTTCTAATTCCCACAGAACGTGTCCGACAGGTCATCGATATGGTGAAGGATGAGCCGCAGTCCCGCAAGGACCTCCCCGATCTTCTCCCCAACCCGACCTGTTTGGGGTTTAGGGTTATACATGGTTTAGGGTTTAGGGTTGCAAGCCTGCAGCAAAAGGGTTTAGGGTTGAGGGTTCTGTGTCATGAACCATGACCTGGAAGAACTAACCCTAAACCCAAAACCCAAAACCCTAAGCCCTAAACCCGGTGGCAGAGTCGGAACCCTTGACGGCATACGAGCAGGAGTTGCCAACCTCACAGCACCGGGTGGACGTCTAGCAACCCTCAAGTTGAGACAACGACAATCTTTGGGTTTACGGTTTAGGGTTTAGGGGTTTAGGGTTTAGGGCAATTGCACAAGTCCTGCTGCAAAAAGGGTTTAGGGCAAACTTCCTTACTTTAGGAGTGGGAGGCATCTTGTTTATAGACCCTAGAGGCTAGACCTTGCATCCCAAAGCACAAGTGGAAAGAGAATCCGAATCCCGACATGCAAAATCAGAGCTCTGAAGTCAAGCACCAAGGTTCTGCGGGACTTGCAGACACTCCAGACTACCGCCCGTTGACGCCACCCCAGACCCTACTTGGAGGCTCATGGGACTTAGAACTACAAGTATAAGTACCTTAAGTGGGGTTATAAGTAATTATAAGTATAGCTACCTTATTTACAACTCTAGTTAC